TAATTTGAGTTAATATATTTATTTTATCACAGTGCCCTCTCAGAGCTATTTATTTCTAATGTGACTGCTGCACATTAGTCTGAAACTTTAAAGTAGAGACATTTAAACCTTAAATGTTCCTGTCCCACAGCCTAATAGAAGAGACGTTGCTTTAGTTCGTTGGCAGATCAAAGTGAACTTGATTAAACAGTTATTCTTACTGTGTGTTTTGTGCAGTAGTAGCTGCAATTCCAGCAGTGTCAAACAGGCTTATGAGCAGTAACTAGGCAGTAGTAAGCTACAGCTTAACATGCACCTAACAACATGTTCTCCCAGCAGATAATCTATATCACACTTACAACATGCTGTAAGTAAAATAATTAGTGAAATCATGAATCACGTTTGTGACACTGAAAACTCTGACTACATGTTCGACATAGCTCGATAACCTACTAATCCCTCTTCATAGCATACCCCTATGGTCACACCAAGGTTTGCTGAGTACTGCAGAATTCAGCTACATTGGATTTTTTTGTGGATTGGCTAGAGATATTTTACATTTATAAATAAAAACCATATTTTAAAATTGCTTAACTTATTTAAACCAATCCGATCATAACAACATACGTAGAAATACAGACACTCATAACGTGCCCCAATCATCTCCACCACTTGGGTCCTGCCTTCTGACACCAACTCTGGGCGTACTGGCTGGTTTTGACTGGCTGTGAACTGCTATTTCCAGCACATACTGGAGATAATGTTTCAGCAGTCTGAGTTACACAAATAAAGATGGTATAACAAAGTCTCTCAAAGTTTTAAGTGCAAAGTGCCATCGTTGTAGCAGAGAACAACCATGGCACTTTGGTTTTATGACAAGTCTGGTTTAAGCTTGTCATGGTCACTCTGACGAATGGTGACATCACAACTGCTGCCACTCGCCACGCTTTTGCATCGATATGCTTGTCACAGAGCCCTCAAAACCATTACAACCGGTGTGAAGAACTGAGTATAAATATCCTTTCAATGATATGATCAATACAGCAGGTGATGCAGCAACAGCTTGAAAACAAGAGACTTTGTCTCCTGTTTTGACTTCCTCTACTCTTACACTCCACGGATGCTGAGGGTTTTTTATTCTGATGGGCGACATCATTCGGGAGAAGCCACTCTGCTGCTGCCATTAGTTACATCCCTGTCTCCAGATTTCTTTTCACTGGCTGAGGTTTTTACGCTCAAACATAAAGAGAACAGTCACAGACTTCAAACCACTCTTTCGCATGCAGTTTTAGACAGAAGTAACATTCAGCATGTTCACTGCTGTAAGCTAGACAGCAGTCGCTCTCTGCATCTGCCCCTCTGTTCTTTACACTCAATTAGCCACAAGAAGAAAAATGAGCCTTTTGCAAAATTTCACTCTTCCTCCATCAATCCTGATGTGTCACAGTAAAAAAGAGAAATTGCTGCCAATTCCTCTATTAAAGATTTTAAAATGACATTTAGTTAGGTTAACTATTACAGTAGGTCAGAGACACAGTGGCTCATCCACCCCACTCGTGTTGGTATTACGAATTTCCTAAAACATGAGAAGCACCGGAGCTCAGAGTCTCAGTTCCGTCGCTCTTTCACTCGTTCTCTTTCCATTTCTGCTCCACTGATTTACATTTTCTGGCCACAAGGAGAGATAAAGTAAAACCAAATCTCTAGTTAATCCGATCTCCCTGCTGTGATGTTTCACTCAACTCTGAAAATTAGCATCTGACACAGGTCAGAGCGCCCTGCCCGGCATCCATCACTTTCTATCTCATTGTGGTTTTTTTCCCCGTCTTTACAAGAAGCGTAGGTCAAAGAGACACTTACAACACTCACCCGCTGTTTAGGACTCAGTATGGGAAGCAGTGAGCATGACACACATGCCCTCTTCTATAACTCAAAGACAGATATTCTTTCCCGATTCCCTTGTTGGCACATTCATCTGCAGAAAGTACATTTAGTACACAAATATCCTCCAACCTTTATTGTTTATTTTTTAACTACACGAACACATCTCCCCCTAACTGCTTTGAATCATCTGATAAGTGAGAACTAAAAGTGCATTTTCGACTTCGCCACCAGCGCTATTATGCTAGTGCGGGCAGTCCTTCCCCTTTTATCGTCAGGCAGATGAAATCTCATCTGGTGCTCAACCCCCATCACCGTACATAAATGTCAAGCAGGCCAGCGGTAGCCACCTTGCTCCCATCACTCCTGTGCTGTTTCTAGGGATGTGTTCCTGTACTGAGCTGCCTGCTGAGCTCATTAGCAGGAACAGACCGAGTGATGTAAGGGTGACTTGAGGGATGAAAAGAGCACTGCAGGAGCGTCCCCAGATCATCCTTTCAAAATTATACTGATAATCTGGATCTAAACAGAACCCCCCGCAAAAATGTAATTAACTAATTTTGACCTGTGTTTGAAGTATGCAAGCCTGCAAACAGTATTTTGTTCAAGAGAGCGCGAGAGAGGAAACAAAGGCCAAAACTGGACAAACGCATACACGGCCAGATTTGACAAGTCTGGGAGTTTGCCAACCTGATCATATCACAGCTTGAGTTTGAATCATTCCAGACAGTCTTAAGTAAGAAAAGACGCAATGTAACCTTCAAAACGGTACTTCAAATTCATCTCTACCAGCAGCACAATAAGTTTCACTAAAAAAACAAAAAAACAAAACCCAACACAAAAAAACCACAACACTTGACGGCCAGTTAGTGAAGCATTTAAGATTTATATAGGAGCTTGATAGAATTTATTGTCTCTTTCTTTTTTTAAAAGTAAAGAGGCTTTCATAAGCTCAGGTGCAAAACCAGAGTTCTTCTAATGAGCTTTAACGTAGGAATGTGGTATGACCACCTTTATTCTTCAACAAAGCTTGAACTCTCTTTCTTCTCGCAGTTTCTTGTCATTTCTTTAAGTAGTCTGCAGGAATTGTTCTCCAGGCTTCTTGAAGGACATTCAAAGCTCTTTTTAAGTAAACAACCTTTATTTGTCACATACACAATTATACAGGGTATAACATGTAGTGAAATTCTTGAGCTGCAGACATAGCCGCGCCATTCCAGGGCTTGGTTTTAAGCATGGGGGGTCTAGCCAGGACCCTTACTGGATAACGGGTGGGAATTGAACTTGTGACTGCCGCTCCAAATGGGGCGTAGTCTTACCACTACACTATGCAGAGCCACACACTATCCAGAGCCAACATATTTTGGATGTTGTCTCCCTTTTTTTCGGTTCTCTGTCAAATATGTTTCCACACTGCTTCAATAACGTTCAGGTCCAGGCTCTGGGGAGGCCAGTCTATGACTGATTCGTGTTCTCTGGTGTTTTGTTCTGTCCCAATATGCTTTTACTACATTGGCAGCATATTTGGGATAATGGTCATGCTGAAAAAATTGAGCTGTGGCACAATCATTCACATTCATATGGTGTTTCGCGGTGGATCAAAATCTGATGGTATTTTTCTGTGTTCATAATTCTAACAAGCTCTCCAACACCTCCGGCTGAAATTCAGCCCTAAACCATGACAGAGCCCTTGAGGATGTTATTTTCTAGTTCAGTTCTTGAGTAATCTGGCATTCCTCAGCCCTTTCTCCCAGTTTCCTTTAAGAATAGCTTCTTGACAGCCAACGTTTTACTGAGACTATTTCTGATGAGGCTTCAGTGAACAGTTGCTGGATGGACAGAGGACCAGATGCATGTCTAAGGTCATGAGCCAGGTCTTGCATTTTTTTTAAAGTTTTTTTAATGACTTGCAGGCACTGTTCATCTGCTGTAAATAGTTTTTTTTAGGCCTGCCACTTCTTCTTTTATCCTCCACTTGTGTATTTTCCACAGATTCTTTAGAGACACTGTACCTCATGCTATGCTACTTTCTTTTTGGGGATAACCTTGTTGCAAAAAAATACTATGTTTATGTCTGTCAAACCATGTTATTGGCATTTTCCACAGATTGAACCAAAGAAATTGAAGGAACTAGTTTTTGTAGCAGGCTGCTGGTAACCAAGTGCCTTAAAATATAAAATAAATTGCTAAGTTGTCCATTAAGTATAAACACAACACAAGTTCTTCTAGTGATCTAGGTATCCTTTGTTGTGCTTTAATCCTTCATAGTCCGGTGTTAAATGGCGACCCTCTGGTCCGGTACAAGGACCGGACTGAAAATTGAGTGAAAACTTTGAGAGACCTTCAGAAAGCCTGGAGAACTATTTCCTCAAGGAATAATTAGAAAGTGTGGCTCCTTGAAAACAAAAAATATAAAATCCTCTGTACTTTTGCACAGTGGTGTGTGTGGGTACAGTTAAATAAACTGCCATACTTCTGCGCAGATGCACTTTCCTCTGCACTTTTAACTTCCGTGTTAAGACAACTGGTATATTCCAGTGCTTTCAGATGCTCACTGCTGTATATTTGTGGAAGCCTTTCGTGTCTCTAGATGGAGCTGAGTGATGTCATTTGGTTGAAGCTGTGTACAAGTGTGACAAACGAACTGAAAAGCAATGGGAGAAGTTAAAAAGTGGCTGTGAAAGATCCCGGGAATACTAAAGCTGAAGCTGCTGATGGTGCTAATCGGCATCCTAATAAACAGAAAGCGTCAGTTTACATAAGTCTTTACATAAGTCACTTTCCTTATGCTTTCCCTTCATAGCCTAACTGTTAAGTAACACCTATCCGCTGCTTATTTAATGTGTCCCACTGACTCTGTGTCGGCTACTTCTTCCGAGGTCCTGCTATAGAAAAATTAACACGAAAATGAAAGCAGCGTGCTTGCTTGTTTCATAACACAGAAGAGGGGGGGCTGCAACAGCAATGCAGACAGGAGGAGGAGGAAGCGAAGAAGGAGTGGGGGGTGCAAGTGCAGCATGCTCCTCTATTGTCTGGAGCCTAATTGACGCTCCAAAATAGCCCAACAGGAGAGGGGAAAATGCTTTTAGCAGGAAGAAAACATTCGAAAGCGGACATTAAAGCCGGCGTGTGTCTCTCACCTTCCGTCCCCGTCTCTGCGATGAGTCCCTTCAAGTAAAAAAAAAAAAGGCTTTTATTTAGGAAGTGGTAATGAGAGGCAGGGCAGGCTTGGCCGCTTTCACCCATTCATCGGTTTCTTACTGAAAGAGGAGGGTCGGTCCTGTTGGTCCCTGCACGCGCTCTGTACAGGAAAAAAAAAGCCATTACGAAAGTTCCGGAAGTGCCCGAGCATCCAAAGTGTTGTGGGCTCCAGTGCTGGTTAGCAGAGGAAAGGACTGCATGAAAGTTAAACTGTCAAATGTTATTTGATGCGTAATTCATTTTGTTCCCCTTTGTTGCATCATCCAAAAATATAATTTAGTAGTTGTTTTAAAAAAAAAACAACAACATACTTTGTGCAAAAACAAAGAAGAAGAAAGCCTGATTTATAGCGAAAAAACAAACAAAAAATCCCCAAAATATAATTTTGAAAATTTAGTAACCTATCGGCAAAACGTCTGGATGTGTAAAGCCTGCTTATAGCTTACCTAAGATGGCCAAGATCAAGAAATTAATTTAATAAACTGGTATTAACATAATGCAATTTCCTGTTCAGATGTCCGATGATTTCCGAATAAGCGCCCATGCATGCAAGTGTTTCCAATCAGTCTGGCTGGCCTCTGAAGTTCTAAGTGTTACATATATATATATATATATATATATATATATAAACCGAAATTTTATTTGTCTGCTACATTTTTATTGCTCATTTTGAATTGGATACCAGCGAAAATGTTTCTAGCTGGGACAGTGACAACAAAAAGTCTGTAAAAGTTGGGCAATCATATGAAATACTATCTGATGCTACTACTTAAAGGTGCCTGTATAGCTTAAAGAATGTGCAGCTCTTTGCATTGTGGTTTTTTTTATTTTTTTTTTTATTTTTATTTTTTTTTAGATCTGGACAGAATGTGCTCTCATGATAGTATCACAACTGTGTGATTACTGAATAAAGGTATTCCATATACAACATATGAAACCTGAATATTGGACCAATATTTTAACTTCTAAACATTCATTTTAATGCCCTAAATATTGTTTTTGAGAATGTTTTAATAGAAAGGATATGCCACAGTAGGTGTATCAGTGTACCAAGCCTAATGTTGCCAAGCTCACGCAGCCATGCCAGCACAAGTCTGGCCCACTTACGTGTAGTCATGTCCTAAATAAACTTTCCAGCTGAATAACTGCATATCTAACAGAGTTTGAATTTAACGGTATGCACAAAGCCGCTGATCTCTTTCCCATTGTGCTACTTAACTGTTTTCAGCATTTTAAAAATAAAAAAATTGCATGCACCATAAACAGGAAAAGGTTCTTTCATAATATTTTGATTTTGGTTTCACCTTATTTACTGACTGCTAAACCAGTTATAACAAGCTATAACAAGTTAACAGCATGTGGATTTTTCTGTTGTTTTGTTTTTTTAGTTCAGTTAAATCAGGAGGATTTTTAGAAAGAACGACATTTCCATTCTAAAACCAAAAGGTCAGCCTATGTTTGGCTGCTTCATAAGAAGAGCTCATGATTAAAGTGGGGCAGATGATTTCAAGCCAGTACATCAGTATCATCCAGTAAGTCGGGACTCTTCTCTGAAGCAGACCTGTACCCTGACATCTTTCTCCAGCTGTTGACCAGAATACAGATTTCAAAAAAAGCTGTGAGAGCAAGTTTTTTGTTTTACAGTATCTATTTCTGTAGATTTTTCTGTGCGTTTTTAATATTTTACAGTTTAAATACAATATGCAAGTTAGCTGAGCTCAAGGCTTAGTTCTGTGGAGCATAGATCAGTGACTTTACAATCAGATGATTTTGTTTATTTTGGACTAAAAGACTCTAATTCGTGTTGACAATATGTGTCATCATCTCTGCAAAGCCAAAACTAAAACTCAAAAATGTGTCAGGTGTCTCATTTGAAAGAGAACAGCTGTAATGTCAACTCGACCATGCATGTGAACAGTCTGCCTCTCCAGCTTCTCCCTAATCCTTCTAAACATGTTATACATTAAACGGGGTTAATATTCTCTGTTATGAAACCGATCAGCAGGTGATCTGCTGCACACATTCCTGGACTGATGGAAAAACATGACTCTTTTTCATATTGATATGGTGCCCTCTATTGGTAGATGCTCTGCATAACACCAGATTATGGAATTTAAGCAAAGGTCTGACACACAAGAGTGTGATGATCTGTAAATAAATGGTTAGATACTGCACACCAAAAACAAATAAAAGAAATTAATTATATTTAATACACATATCATATTTAAAAATTCTCAACATTAAAAACACCAGCCCATCAACACCTTTTTAATTTAAAATATGTGTAAATTGACTAACAGCTGTATCCTGTCCTAAAAACCAGAGGCAAGAAATCCTAATATTAACTAAATTAATAAATTAATTATTACTAAAGTTAAGAAGACTGTGTTTTACCATATATAAATAACAAATTTCATAAGATCAAAGAAGTACAAAAATACACTAAGAGACCCTCCTTACAAACTGTCTTATTGTTATTATAGACAGTGATATATTTTGAAGCTTTATAATACAGAAATTATTTTCTATTTCCTTAATATACAGTGAAAAGTCTGGTTTCACTTTGTTTGCACGCACCTTGTTCTAAAAGTTTTACAGTTAGGTCCACAAGTCTTTGGACAATGGCACAAGTTTTGTAACGTTCACCACCAGAGTGAATTTGAAATCAACAGTCAACATGTGATTGAAGTTCAGACTTTCAGCTTAAATTAAAGTGGTTTAATGACGTATATGAAGTATTGGGTTATCTGTTTGGCGGTTTGATTGTTAGTTGAGACCTGCACTCTGTCAATATTCCATGGCAAATCAAGCAGATAAAAGAGTTGATTCCAAAATGTTGAATTTTCGTTTGGCAGCTTTTCGCTGAAACTCCCAATATGAGCCCCAAAGAGATGAACATGAAGAAGACTGTCATTAGACTGAAATATACAAAATGAACCCATCTGAGAGATAACAAACATCAGGAGTGGCCAAATCTACAATCGGCTGCAATCTTAAGCTCAATAGCGCCAAAAGGCCGGAAAGGCCACAGCAAACAACTAAAGTGGATGATTGCAAATTATTTCCGTGGTTAAGAAAAGAAACTTCAAGACATTAACCAAATCAAGAAGGAGGCAGGTGTATCATTGTCAAGCTTGACAATCTGGACGCCTTCATGAGTGGAATTAAAGAAGCTTTACAACAAAGTGCAAACTGCTAGTTACACTCAAGAACAAGAACACCAGATTAGACTTTGCCAGAAAACATCTAAACATCTAAAAGAGCCTTCAGAGTTCTGGAAAATGTTTTCTTTGGACATATCAAAACAAGATTAACGTGTACAAGACTGAAGGGAAGAGAAAAGTATGCAGGAGAGAAGCAGCGTGTGATCTGAAGCAAACCACATCATCTGTCAAACTAGTGGAGCCAATGTTGTGGCAGGGGCATGTATGCCTGCCAGTTAGTGGGTCACTGGTGTTTACTGATGATGTGACTGCTGATAAACGTTACAGGGTAAATTGTGAAGTGCACAGGGCTATACTTTCTGCTCAGATTCAGCCAATTGCTGCTGAACTGATCGGGGAGTAAACGGACCGTGACCCATAGCTTTCTGTAAAAGCAACCCAAGACTTTCTCAATGCAAAGACATGGGATGTCTGTCACCTGATCTCAACCCAACAGAGCATGGTTTTTCATAACCAATGGCAAAACTAAGTGCAAAGAGACCCACAATCACTGCACTGCACTTTTTGCCTATGACAAATGGGACAGGCTCCAATGTATCAGGTATCCAGTGGCTGTATTGACACAAATGACTGTAGCCATACAAGTTAAAGGACGTATACAAACATACAGGTGATCCATTGCTCCATATTTTGTGAAAAGGCATCTCCTCTAGATCTTAGTAGAGAAAAAATTGCAAACAATTTACTTCACTGTGTCCATCCATTTTCTAAAACTTGGGGGGTCAGGTTTATATGAGTCTTTCTTTCTTTCTTTCTTTCTTTCTTTCTTTCTTCAGCTGAACCTGTAGGTGTGACTTATGGAAGTAATGGATACTGACACCAGTGGTTACTGCGCAAGTTAACATTTCAATGCTATACAGCCAAAATTTGCGAGGCTTTATTTTATTTAATGTCACGGAAGGCTTTGACCATTTCATATTGAATCACATTTGAAATTCAAAGGTAGCTATTTGCACCAGTTTCCTACATTATGTTCACTTTTTCTTTTTTTAATTTATTTGAAAGAACATTGATATTTTTTCTGTTCAACTGAGTGAAATGAGAATTTTATTTTATTTTGTACAAGCAATATATTTAGTGCAGATTGCTCATGAAGTGTAAAGGTGAGAAGAGATTGTATTTTGTGGTTCAGTTCGGTTTTACTTATATAGCAAAATCACAGCAGTAGTTGCCTCAAGGCACTTTATATTGCAAGGTAAGGACCCTACAAAAAACAGAGAAAACCCCTACAATTAAACAACTGCCTTTGGGCAAGTACCTGGTGACGTTAACGGGAAGAAACCTCCGGCAGAACGAGGCTCAGAGAGGGACAGCGAACAGTGATGCTTAGAGGGTATTTGTTTGGTGAGGGGACCACACACATTCAGATAGCCCAAACTGTTTGAAAACCACGGAGAGGAAGAATGTTATGTGTATCAATCAGGGGAGGTTTTCTGCATGTTTTATTTCTCACTGGAGCACTCACGGAAATGAACCTGTACTATAATTTAATGGTGATTCCCTCACTGTGACAAGTCAAAATAAAGTCTGTAGAAAACATCTATTAATCGGAGAAAGACGGAAAGTTCAGGCACAGACGTTTGGAATTTTAACCTTGTGTTTCCCTCATTAAAACGCTAGATGGAGCCACTCACCAGGTATTAATACTCAGCCTCTAAACACTATATGTAGTGTGTTCACACTAGAAACATGACAAGCAGGCTCATACTTGGAGCGCAAGGAAAATCTTCCCGATTATACAGTGTTCTGACAATTGACATCACGGCTCCAAAATGCAACTCATGAGAAACAAATAGTGCAATGGTCCAGAGATCTTTTTTTTCCCTCTC